TCCACATGGCAAGACCCATCAGAGCACAGAAACATAAGCCCCCACATAGCCCTACCCCCCCAAGCTGCAAAAAACCCTGTAAAGTACAGTAAATACAGTGTACTCACCCAGAACAGGCAGTCTCTGTTTTTTTTTTTTAAGTCAAAAATTAAAAAAAAAAATTAAAAAAGCCAAAAAAACACAGTTCGTATAGTACAGTACCAGGCAGTACCAGGCAGTACTGTACAGTACCAGGCAATACCAGACAGTCCGAAGACTATCTCCCTATCCACTCTCTAACCGCTGGGACAAGCGAGGTAGCAGACAAGTAGCCTCTTCACTGGTTTAACTGAAAGTTCAAATTTCGCGCTTTCCCTGCCCCCATTGCATTTTTTGTCCATAACTCAAAGCTCCAGCCACAAGTCAAAGCAATATTTTGCGGCCAGAGCTTTTCGTAACTCAAAATTTTCTTAAGTAGGGGTGTTCGTAAGTCGAGGCACCACTGTATATTAGGGCCAGGAGGAAGTTAAAATATTGCTACTGTTTCTTCTTGGCTTCACGCCCATTATTATCTCCTCACATTCTCTTGTCTCTCATATACTATTTTGCCACTTTTGGTGAATGATTTGCCCCCATGATGTCACACAGGCACACGCATAATTCTCAGGCTTTGTCCCTGAAATTGTGCTGATGATTTTTAAAATTAATTTTAAATAAGTAAATAAACTCTGCTTGAATCCTATGTGGTTTCCACCTGTAATTTAAAAGGAAAATGTAGTTGCATGTATATTCAACCCATTTGATTCTTCCTTTTGGATGCTTCCACACAGAGGGCCCCATCTATTCACAGGAGAGTTACAAATGGAAGACATTGTAGTCTACAAATTCTATTGAATGAAGCAGGATGATTGTATCATGAAGACTGTGTCTGGAAAGACCTTTGATCTGTGTGGCTTGGGTATTAGTTCCCTTTATTTGGTCATTTGTGGTCATTTGTGGGGAGTGGAAAAGGAGATTATATAACTCGTTTTCATGATGTAGATGTTTCTTCAGTATTACTAACAAGGAATAACAAGGCTTTTCAGTGTAGGCGCTAAAACTTTACTACAGAGACATCTAGTGGTCTCAGCAGAAAGGAAATGGAGGAAAATGCCTGCAATTGAATCATTTAAGTCAAAGTGGTAACCGTGTTACTCTGCACAAGCCTATCAAAAAGATATACAAAACAAAAACAGTAACGAAGACAAAAACATTGTGGCACATTAAATACTAACCGCCTACATTTTTTGGCCCCTGAATCTTAAAACTGTTATGGGGTCCTCTTTGCAATTAGTAATGAGGTCTGGGTAACCACTGTTATCTTCTTCAATGGGGTTGTTCCACATTTAAAGAAATGTGGATTAGTTACTTCTGAGGCCCCTGTAGGATTAGAGGCTCTGGAGCTTATGCTTCATTAGTTTCATAGTAGATCTTCCCCTGCTAACTGCTACAATTTAATGTGAGCTTTGATGGAACACATCCACTTCTTCAACATTAAAATATAGCAGGTAGTCCTTAAGGTGCCACATCTTTGCCTTCTCCTCCTCCTTCTCCTTCTTTTTGCCTTTCATTTTGTTTTCTGTTTCTTGTTGATATGCTTGAAGTAGAAGAGTGGGATAAAAAAGAGAAGCAGGGCTGGAAGTGTAATGAGAGAGAGAGATGAATGAGCAAACCAAGAGGTTAAGAGATCTGTGGAGGGAACTACACACTGTGAAGCAAACATGGGCTCCCAGCCCCATTTGCTTCATGACATTGCTGTTTCAGAAGGATGTGGGCATTATGAGAGAAGATCTGGCAGATGCAAATGCCTTTTTCTTCTTTTCCTTTTTCTTTTTTGAATGCCAAACATATTGGTAGCTGAGATGGTAAAACAATGGCATGCTGTGTCTCACCCACATACACACACACATACTCAAGTTGCAGTGCAAAATAACAAAAAGCAAGGAAATTAACCCACAAACCTGTATTCTACCATCCCAGTAAAATACATGTTGCTGCTTCTGCATGAAAACCAAAATACGGTGCTTGTGGCAGTGCAACACTCTGCTTAATGACATGGCTACACTTGGTCATTTTCGTCAACCAGAATATATATTTGGAAAGCAATCATTTGGCAGTGTAACATGTTGTACTATTCTAGTGGAAAGATAGATGGGGGGGGGCGCGGATGAAGGGAGACAGAGAGAATGAGAGAGAGAGAGATGCAGACTTAGGACTGGTTCTGAGTTGATAGTTCTATACGTAGGCTGTACCATTTCAAATGTTAATGAGAGCTAACAGAATTGAATTACTTGTAAAACAAAACCAACAATTCCTGCAGTGCCTTAAAGAATGACAAGGGACTGTAACTATTTCTTCAGAGACCTACTGTGGCCAACTGTCCAGTAAAGCTTATGACAAATAAAACTGGCTAATCATTAAGGTACTACAGACCCTATGTTTTTTTTGTTGTTTTTGTTTTTTTTGCTAGAATACGCTGGGATGACTTTATCAGTTATAAGTGTCTGTTAGGAAACTGTTACAGAAAATCTGTCAAGCACAAACCAAATCTATACCAAGTCAAATATTCAATTATCTTTAAGTAAATGTTCTTAAATTTTATTATGACTTAATGATTTTTCTTTTATCTGCTGGCACATACATATATCAAGAGAGAATATTATTCATAATCTGTTTTATTGGGTTTTTTTAAAAAATCACACTTAACATGCTGTGTGGAAACTTCTGCAATACAAAACATTCCTTGTGCTGAGCTTTTTGTGAGTTTGCACACTCCACGTTGTGTGATTTAAAAAAAAAAAAACACCACACAGATTATGTATAATATTCTCTCTTCATATATGCATGCACAAAGAAAAATCATTAAGCCATAGTAAATTTTAAGAACATATACTTAAAAATGTGTTAAAGAATAAGCAAACAATAACTGAATATTTGACTTAGTATAGATTTGGTTTGTGGTTGATGACTTTTAATAACAGTTTCATTAACAGACACTTGGCAGTGTCCTAACATCTTCTTTACTAACTACTGTAGACTCATAACAAATATACTAACAGCAGACATCCTAGGAGCAGAGAGTCCTGAAAAATTAACCTATCAGCAGTCAAGTCTCACACTAATTGATACTTGTTCTTATATCTGTCAGTTAACCCTCTAAACACCTATTGGCAGACACTAGACACAACCAGATTGGTTACACATGTTCTCTTATGCAAATAATACAGTTAGCCCATTCTTATATACATGCTGGGTTGTATAATATTTACATATTCTAACACCTTGCTCATAGAGAACAAGCATGTTAGTGAGAAGACTACCCTAACATCTGGTTCTCCGTCTGCAGGAAATATCTGTATCTGGTATTATGAATTTGTATCTGCATGCTGATGTACTGTATAGTACTAAAAACACAGCATCTGACTGGCATCCTTAAAATAAGAAAACAGGAACAGCAGTGGAAATGAGACATGCCACTGTTTTGACACAAGAGTGCTCACAGGAGACAATATTTCTTTTATTTTAGCTCCTCCAGGTCTGGGACTTGAAGAGTTATTTGTCTCTACTGTGAGCTGAACAAATTTGATCACAATAAAGGACTTCTGAGTTAGAAAATGTTGTGAGGTCCTGACAGCTCACTCAGTATGGCTTCTACCATTACAATTTATTTTAGGAAAGAGTTGAAATTCTAGGGGCACACAATTAGTGGTACAACCAGAGCTTAGAAAACTGTTTTTGAAAAGTGACCACTTACAGTTACAGTCCAAATTCCCAAGAAATAGTCAGCTACCTTTCCCCTTAGAATTCAGTGTGCTCCATTTGGAGAAGAGACAAGGGAAAGGAGCCTTGTGTTTGCCAGGTTGGCAGTTCGAATTGTTGGGTTAGCACAGAGACTGTCATTTTGAAATGAATCGAGTAAGAAATTCAGAAGAGGAAAATGGCCTCTTGTCATTCTGTCAACTCCTGCGATGTTGCTGAAACCAGTTGTATTGGCTCTTGCCTTTCCATTGGATATTTCAGTGATGTGGAGAGGGGGGATTTGCTGCTTGGGTAACAGCCTATCCTCCATATTATTTTACCCAGGTTTTGTGCCCTGGAGAGGACACTCCAGCTTCGCGTACAGGGTCAAAACACTAGACGCTGTTCCAAGTCCTCCATACAGAGCACGTTACCATAGTCTCTTGAGACTGAAGGATGCCTATGATGAGTCAGCTACTGTCACATTTCTCCATTATTCAATAATAATGAGAATTATTACATGCAATTACTTTTTTGAACTAAAACAAGAATGTTATGACCCAGGGCTCTGTGTGGCAAAACACATCTAAACCTGAAAACTCTGTAACTATTAAATTAATTAAAAGACTTTAATAGTGTTTTAATTGCAAAATTAAAACACTATTAAAGGAGTAAAAGGAATAAAATTATCTTATTACATACGCAACTATATGTTTCCAAGCTCTGGGTACTGGCATTTTTCGCAAATACTTTCCCTCATTTTGAACCTCTATGTAAAGGTAAAGGTTCCCCTTGACAAATTGTCCAATCATGTCTGTGAGTTATTGGTCCCATAAATGAGATCAAAAACCACGAAACAGGAAAATCCAGGCCCCATTCACTCCCATTCGAAATTAAACTGCTTGAGTCAACACAGTTCCCGGGACATGAACTCTTGCAGCCTGCATTTAAAATCTGTTTCGATTTTATCAGCTTTTGAACTGCTAGGTTGGCAGGAGCTGGGACAAGCGATGGGAGCTCGAGTGGATTCAATCTTACGACGGCTGGTCTTTCAACCTTGCAGCACAGAGGCTTTTGTGGTTTAACCAGCAGTGCCACCGCACCCCTAAAAGGAAAAACCTCTAGTTGAACCTCTAGTGAACCTCTAGTTCCTTGGAAACTTACAAAATACCTAAGGGTCTGCAGCTGAATATAGATTGTAAGTGTTACTAGCTAAATGTCTCTTGATTTTGGTTTTATTGCAGGAATTTGTGAGGCTTACTGTATCTGATATACTCGTGACATTTGTAACAATATTAGTGGGAGACTTCCTCCGGGCCTGCTTTGTCAGATTCATAAACTACTGCTGGTGCTGGGATCTGGAGGCTGGATTTGTAAGTAAATGATTTATATATGAAGCATCGTATCCTGCTTATAATAGGTTTTAATAAATGCTTCAAAGCTGTATGACTATGTAATTTCTTTTCTTATAGGCAAAGGCTAGCCTAACTGTTGAAAAGAGAGGATGTTTCAGTCCCCAGAATATATCTATCACAAACAAGGGAACTGTTGCATAGAACTGCTGGGCTTTGAAGCTCCAGAAGCTATCGCCAAGCTATGTATTGCAGTCAGAACCCTGTCACATTGGTACTCTTCAGCTGACAGGCATAAAGCTGAGATGCACTCTGCATCCTTGAAAAACAAAGCCTATTCTTGTTCAGGCATGCATAGAACAGAACTACGCTTTATAGGTTTGGAGGGAAGATGTTCAAACAAATAAGAATGTGATCCAGCGTTACCCCTGCCCTTGGAGCCATCTACTGTCAGAATGTACTCTCTAGGCAATTGGGGAATGTATCATATGGGGAGGATTAATCCTGCCTCCCTTAGATTCCAGTTATCATTTTTTTTAAATACAGAGCTATTGGAAAGAAAGCCCTTATTCACAAATGGCAGCATTTTCCCTTTAAAGCTCATAGCTGCAAAAAGAAATTCATATCAGAGTGTTGCACAATTCAAAATCACACACAGTGCATGCAGTGGCAGAGAGGTTATTTTCGTTGGAGGAGCATCTGGGAAAAGGAGACTTAAATCTCCCTTCCAATACATTGAAACAGGCCTGAAGAAAATCAAGTGCACCTGCCTTTAATTTTTTTTTAGTGATGAAGTTTCTAATGATGCAGTTTTAATGATGCAGTTTCTATCATCACATCTAGTTTTAATTCTCATATTAACATCCGTTAAACACAGGATTCCTCTAAAGGCTGGATTAAATTGACAACAGGGATAACTTAATAGATTTACAGAAAATTTAAAAACTGCTACCAATATATACAGCTGAAACATATTACAGCTGCCATATTGTTGTTGTTTAGTTGTTAAGTCGTGTCCAACTCTTCGTGACCCCATGGACCAGAGCACGCCTCCTGTCTTCCACTGCCTCCCGGAGTTTGGTCAAAAGCTAAAACTGAATCAGATGGTTGTTGTAGGTTTTCGGGCTGTTTGGTCGTGTTCTAAAGGTTTTGGAACCTTTGGAACCTCTGAAGATGCTAGCCACAGAGACTGGCAAAACGTTAGGAAGATGAACCTTCAGAACATGGCCAAACAGCCTGAAAAACATACAACAACCATCAGATCCTGGCCGTGGAAGCCTTCGAGAATACAGTGGTGCCTCGCATAGCGATCGCTCCGCATAGCGAAGAAATCGCTTTGCGACGCTGTTTTTGCGATCACAAAAGCGATCGGTTTGCGATGGCCCCTATGGGGAAAATTCGCTTTGCGATGATCGCAGGGAAGCGATCATCACAAAGCCCCACCGATCAGCTGTGCATAAATGGGGGCTTTGCAATGATCACTTCCCCACGATCATCACAAAGACCCGTCGATCAGCTGTGCGAAAATGGGGGCTTTGCAATGATCGCTTCCCTGTGATCATTGCAAAGCCCCCATTTTCGCACAGCTGATTGGCAGTTCCAAAATGGCCACCTGCTGTTTTGCCTCACTTTAGAGGCACTGAAATCGCTTAAAGGTTAGTTTTAAGCCCATAGGAATGCATTGAAGGGGTTTCAATGCATTTCTATGGGCTTTTTAATATCGCTTAGCGACAAAATCGCTTAGCAACGATTTTTGCTGCACGGATTAACGACGCTAAGCAAGGGACCACTGTACGTTGCTAGACACCTCATTATATCCAGAACTTTATACAGTTTCTCTAATTTTTTGCTGACTATTGTGACATGATGCAATTTATCATCTCTAACGTCATGTGCATACAGTTTGTAACTGCAATCAAGAACAGTCTAACAAGATTATTATTATTATATTACTATTATTGTACTCTGTTTTTTTCTAATATGTTATGGTGGCAGTGTGGTTCAGCAGGAAGAACCGCTAGACAGTTCAGTGGTTTAGGTATGGCAGTTTGATTCTCCACTCTGCCTCCTTGACAGGAGCTGGACTCAGCGTTCCATAGGATCCCTTCCAGCTCAGCAGTTCTAATATTACTATTATATTAAGATATCCACGTAATATGAAATGATTTTCTCTGTCTCTATCCTACCTGTGCAATGTGCAATATGGAGAAAATATTGGAAACCTAGATGTGGAGCTTCACATTTAGCAAGATAACATATGTGAATTGATTCATACAGTATATTCTTAGAGTGCTCTAAATTTAGCGAACAAAAGTTAGCACTTTGGCCACAATGCTATTGGTTTTTACCATGCATTTGAAATTGCAAAACCTTTCATGGCTAATTGACAAGGTGCTGTCATGATCTAGGTTATTGAAGCTAAAATGTAATTTCTAAATGGGATTTGTAGTCATGGAATGATGTAGAAGGAAATCAACTCAGCCTGTGGCATTTTACTAGAAGCATCAAGAACTGTTTTTCCTTTGCAGCTAGCTAGGAATGTTATCATGTAGATAGTGTGGCCAAGGCTAAGCTTGGCGTAGACGAAGACGAGAAGTCATAACATCAAGGAAGAATGTCAACAACATCTGCAGTTCTCATGAGAGGAGGAGGTGGAGAGAGACAAGAATCCTTTGTCCTGATTGGCTTACGCCAGTGGAGAGTGAAGGAGGGGGTGTTTTCAGCGTGTGAAGAAAATGACAGGATGGTACAGAGAGAGATACTCTTTTCTGACTCTTTTTCTAACTCATTTTTGGATTAATGGATTTTACCATGGATTTTTGATTTTTGAATGGACTTTGGAGTTCCCAGTGCTAAGATGTAGTTCTTAGTAGGAGAATAGAAAGGGGGGCCTAGCCTTACCTGTTTTCTACTTAGTAGAATTTTCTTATTTTATTTTTGTAGCTGGGATTTGCTAAGATTCTAACTACCTGTAGTTATGGAAATGACTTTGAATGCTATGCTTTGCAACAAACTGAATTTATCTAAATCTTTATTTTTCTAATAAAACAATAATACTTAAGAACCTATGCTTGGTCTCTTGAACAGGTAACCTGCTACCATACTTAACTGGATTATTTACAGGCCACAAAACTAAGCTACTTTGAGTCCAGTATTTTTCTGAGTTCTGAGGGTTTTAAAGGTCTCTAAGACTCATGGTTATAATTTGGTTTCTTAGTGGTTTTTAATTGGGGATAGACTTGGGAAAGGGTGCCAGATAGACAGCCTGGTTGAGACAAGGACTCATCTCAACTCAAATAGGGGTCTATTGGACCTGGAACCTCTCTATTACAACCTTCAGTAATCTCTTAGGAGATCTGATAGGCTTACAGGTGCCAGACACGTGCCAAGCACATAAGCAGAAACCTTTATTACTGTGTTTTTCCGTAAATGAAATGACACTTTTTCCTAAATAATTAAAGGAAAAATTGAGGGTTATCTTATACACAGAGGTAAGGGGGGAGGGATCAAAGCACTGGGATCCCTGCTTTCCCCCTCTACATTTTGCAAAGAAAATGGAGGAGAAAAGTGATTCCTGCTTTCCCCCTACATTTTTGTTGCAAAAGACTGCTTTCCCCCTCCACATTTTGCAAAGAAAACATTTGCAATGAAAATGTAGGGGGAAAGCAGGAATCAGTTTTCCCCTCCATTTTCTTTGCAAAACGTGGAGGGGGAAAGCTGCTTTTTGCACAGAAAGTGTAGGGGAAAGGAGGAATCATTTACCCCTCCACTTTCTTGCAAGGAAAAAAATTTGGGTTAAAAAAATGGGGGTGTCCTATACATGTCTTATACACGAAAATGCACTTATTCACCTAAATGTTAGAATTTTTTGCTGCCTCAGGCACACAAAATATGCTCTATCCAGCCATAGGAAAACTGGAAAACTGGTAAAATATGCCATAGGATTAAGAAGCAGACATATCATACTCTGGAATAAGTAAATTCATAGAAGTCATGGTGGCTAATTGCAGCTAAATAACAAAGTGCTTGTATGTGGTCTTGTGCTGGGCATCCTGTTAATTGGTTGCTGTCGTGAATCAGCCTCTCTCTAGAGAGCGCTGTTCATTGGCTAGAGCACTGGTTCTTAACCTTGGGTTACTCAGGAGTTTTGGACTGCAACTCCCAGAAGCCTTCACCACCAGCTGTCCTGACTGGGGTTTCTGGGAGTTGCAGTTCAAAAGCATCCAAGTAACAAAGGTTAAGAACCACTGGGCTAGAGAGCATCCAAGTGTCTGGGTACCCCTATTCAGCTGGGCCAAGTCCTGGTAACACCAGATAAGGCGTATCACAAATCCTTTCCCACAAGTCTAGCCTAAAAGATTCACTCCTGCACTTAACTATACTTAACAAGTATAGGCACCTGGGCTTTGTAGTCCCTGAAGACTCACTAAAACTCAGAAAGATAGGACTCTATTAGCAATCTCTTGGCCTTGCAACCCCTCTGGAAGCAGGCTCAGCAGACTTGCTGTTCAAAAGATGATTCTTAAGGATTTTTAAGAATAATTTTTATTGAAAAATAAAGTCTTTATAGATATTCAGTTTGATGCATAAGCAAAGCATAGATTACATTCCCATAGAATATTGCAGTTAAATGAATAACAAATTCCAGCTAAGTAAAAAATAATTAAACTTCTAAAAAAGCTCTTTTTTTCAGAGTAGGCAAAGGCATGAAGCCCCCCTCTTTCTTTCTCTCATTCCCTACATACTCAGTCCCTTATTCCAACTAAGGAAAAAGGCAAAAAAAGGATCCAAAGCCTCTCTAAAGACTAAGGAACATTCCACACAGCAAAACCTCTATTTTTTTACTAACTAAACCATACCCTTCTTGTTCATCCTTGGAGGTGTTGACGAATCGTTATTTAGAGTTGTCGCGTCTCTGCCCGCCCTTCTTTCTCGTGAGAACACAGGTGTTGTTTTTCTTCTCTAATCTTGGTCCCAATTACGATGGAATGTGGTGTTTAGTCCCCTTATCTTCGTCCTTGCTGTGTCGGTCAGAGAAATCTTCTCACAGTTCTTCAGAAAACATTCCCAGAGTTCAAACTCAGCCTTACACAGAACCATTTTGATTCCATATTGTATTTTTCATGACTACATAACCCATTCAAATTACAGGCTTTAAATTACATACTCATGATCATGACAGTTGCAACTCTCCATTTTGATGTATTCAGTTTCATTTACTCCAGAGCAAAATCCCAATAGGATTCTAGCCATAAAATTAAAATTAAAACATCATCATCATCATCATCATAGGCACTCTTTTCACAGTGGAAAAGATGCCATTTGTGGAGGCCAAACAGTGATGAGGTTTCATGCAGTGTCCAGCATTGGTTTGGTTTGGACTGATGCCAACTTCACCTCTGAAGTCATAAAACTTGTCCAAAGAGCCTAACTTTTTTTTTCCAGTTTGGGGTTAAATCAAAATCATTGCATATCCCTTGTGATCTATTTATCACTTTCATATTTTAATAATAATAATTTATTGTCATTGTAAGTATATACACAGTATACCCATACAACGAAATTCACAAATTCACAAACGAAATTCATATTCATTCAAATAGCCCAAAAGGTAACATAAGAGAATAGGGGCAGACCTCAACTGTGATTTCAGCTGAAGATATTTCATTTTCTCTTTCAATTTGTGCAGTGTCCACTCAGCAGAAATATTTGACACTCACACTCACTCTTTTTTACAGCCTTCGTATGCAGAGTTTGACATTAGCGGCAATGTGCTGGGTTTGGTCTTCAACCAGGGAATGATCTGGTAAGATATTTTTGTCAATTGTTCTTAGAGAAATATGGATTCCCAGTGTGGTGTAGTGGATAGAGCAATGAACTAGGACTCTGGAGAACAGGGCTTGAATCCCCACTTGGCCATAGAAGTTCACTGGGAGAGTGGAACTGTTAAAGTACTCCTTAAATATATCACTTACCTTGAAAGCTCTATAAGGGTTGCTATAAACTGGTTCTGACTTGACAGCATACAACACACACAGAAATAATAAGATCTGCACTGAATTGAGGACCACTGTGTATTTTGCCATTGTGTATTCTCTAAATGTACATTATACCATAGAAGGTTTGACCAAATTTAGTTACAGCAGGAACCTGTTTCATACTAATTTTGCATGTCAGAAACCTTACTTTTTAAATGAAAAGTCTAGGTTTTTGAGAATGCTTACACTGATCTTGTGGATAGCGAATGGATCCATAGGGTTTGACTGCAACCCACACAAATTGAGAGTGCGCTGCTGAACACACTTCACAACTTTGTGATTCCACAAAGGGGAGGTTCAGTGATTATGGGGGAGTCTGTCACATAGCTACATCCCAGTCTAGCATTGTAGTTTTTTTCAGTGGGGATCCTGCAGAACATGGTGAAAACTACTGATTTAAAGAGATCAGTCACTGGACATGGATTGAATAACATTTCCAGTGCAAATTAATAATTTCCGCAATGTCCCTAGTTTTTTTTTAACTGAAGCTGCAGAATACCAAGCCTATACATGAGCCCAATCATATCTATTTGCCTAGGCATATACCTGTTGACATTTACATATGGATAAGCATAATTATTCTTTTTAAAAGAATTCATCTTTAATTTTGATTCCTGACAGTATGAAGGTCTGTCAGCATAAAAATTATCTGATAAAGCAGAAATTACCAGAGAGTTGTCCTTAATCACTGTCACGTTCCCACCTGTCCCTTGGTTGTTTCACCAATCCCGGGGGAAAAGGTACGTGTTGTGTTGCTGCCACCAGTTGATTATATCAACATTGTTTATTATTAATCACAGAGGTCCAGGCAATGTGTCATTTCAAAAACCAAATAGAAATTTGTTACCGCGAGAACCCGTGGAAATCCAGCAGAGTACAATTTCCGGTCCGATGGCAAAATAACTCACGCAGCTTCCTCCAGCATGACACGTGTATTTAGAGCATATACATATATACAAAGTGGCAGCACGACAGCATGGAATCATCAAAGTGAAGGGTGGTACATTTTCTCTGTACAGTTCATATATATATACACTTAAGCATCTGCCCTTGCCCAGTCAGAACAGGTGTTGCATCATCCAGGCACCACCTCTCCAGAGTCACTGTGACTCAGTATTTTACACACCTGGATATCATGGCAGCCCATTATCGCTTCTGTTTTGTTCTGTTCTGTTCAGGCCTGTAAATTTTTAATTCTGACACCCCTCCTAATTTACGCCTGAACAGAAATCATACCCAATTCCTTGGTTATTTCATCATATCTGTGAGCATTCAAAGGTTTTGTCATAGTGTCAGCAACATTTTTCTCTGTCTTGCAGTAATGTAATTCTATTAGTTTTTCTTTTATGGCTTCTCTCACATTATGATACTTAATGTCTACATGTTTGCTCCTATTTCTCATTTTTTTCTGTTACAGCCATTTGTATGCAAGTTGTGTTGTCTTCTAATACCTTTATTGCATTATCTGTTTCAACCTTTCAATCTTTAATCATGTGCTTTTACCAGAACTACTACAGAACATAGCTCTGATAAAGCAGCAAATTCAGCTTCTGCTGTTGAAGTAGCAACTGAACTTTGTTTCCTAGATTTTCACCCTACTAGTGTATTTGCAAACATCACTACAAATCCAGACATTGACTTCCTGTCACTTTCATCATTTGCCCAATCTCTATCAACATAGGCCATTAAATTCAATTCTTTTGAAGGCTTTATGAATAAACATTTGTCACTTGTTCCTTTTAAGTATCTAAATACACTTTTTACACCTTGCCAATGTTTCACAGTTGGCTTAGACACATGTCTACTTAGTATGTTCACTGCTGCAATGTCTGGCCTAGTCAAACTCACTAAGTACATTAAGCTGCCAATTGCAGATTGATACATGTCTTGATTTTCAAACTCTTTGCTAATTCCATCAGACTTTTGAAAATCTACAACCGTCGTCGTTGTCATTTAGTCATTTAGTCGTGTCCGACTTTTCGTGACCCCATGGACCAGAGCACGCCAGGCCTTCCTATCTTCCACTGCCTCTTGGAGTTGTGTCAAATTCATGTTGGGTGCTTTGCAGAAACTGTCCAGCCATCTCATCCTCTGTTGTCCCCTTCTCCTCTTGCCGTCACAATTTCTTAACATCAAGGTCTTTTCCAAAGAGTCTTCTCTTCTCATGAGATGGCCAAAGTACTGGAGCCTCAGCTTCAGGATCTGTCCTTCCAGTGAACACTCAGGGTTGATTTCCTTTAGAATTGATAGGTTTGTTCTCCTTGCAGTCCAGGGGACTCTCAAGAGCCTCCTCCAGCACCACAATTCAAAGGCATCAATTCTGCGGTGGTCTGCTTTGTTTATGGTCCAGCTCTCACTTCCATACATCACTACAGGAAAAACCATAGCTTTGACTATTCGGACTTTTGTTGGCAAGGTGATGTCTCTACTTTTTAAGATGCTGTGGAGGTTTGTCATCGCTTTCCCCCCTAAGAAGAAGGCGTCTTCTAATTTTGTGGCTGCTGTCACCATCAGTAGTGATCATGGAGGCCAAGAAAATAAAATCTGTCACTGCCTCCATATCTTCCCCTTCTATTTCCCAGGAGGTGATGGGACCAGTGGCCATGATCTTAGTTTTTTTTTT